CGCGTCCCGGCTCCGCCCATCGCACCATGGCCCTGCAGCTTCGGCTCCGCACCGTCTCCGGCCTCCGCGGCAAAGCCGACCGGATCGCCAAGGCGGCTTTCCGAGGTACCGGGGGCTGGGACACGGGACGGGGAGGGAGGGGACGTTCCCGGCCCGAGCTGGCCGCCTCGCTGGTCCCTGCCTCAGTTTCCCCACCGCAGCCACAGAGCCCAGCGGCGCAGCGGCGTTGGCTGGGGGAAGGTGAGACGTGAACCTGTGGCGCGGTGGCCAGCTCTGCGGGCTTCCCCGGAGGAGGAGTGGGCATGAGCCCTCTGCCAGGGCTGCTCCCCTGGGGTCCACCTGCCTACCAGAGCCCAGCTGGGGACACTGCGCCCCCCCATGCTACCGGCTACAGGCAGCCCCTGGGGACGGGGATTTGTCCAGGAAAAAGTCAGCGAAGTCCCAGCATGGCGAAACCCTCCCCGGTGCTGGTCTGTGTCCCAGCTGGAGGGAGCAGGGCTGAGACCACCTGCCAGGAGAGCCCTGCAGGAGGGTCAGGGGCTGAAACTTGGGTGGTGAAGCTGTCCTACCCAAAAGTGTCACTCCAACAGCCAGGAGATGATATTTGCTTGAGCAGGGACCCAGGAATTTTATCTAAGGCTGCTGCAGCTTTGTTCTTTTCTGCTCTGGTCTTTGCCAACTCCAAAGCTATCCAGGAGAAGCTGCAAAAGGAGCATAAACTCTCTCGGGTGCATCCTCAGCACCTGGCAAACCCCTGCCAGAGCCCATGGAGGCTTGGGACAGGCTCCCCGCAGGCGTTACCCAGCACGGAGAGCTCGCAGCGCGGCGGCAGCTCCGATCGCGCTTTGTGCGCTGGAGCCCGCCAGCAGGCAGAGGAGTACGTGGGATGGCTTGACAGCTCGTGGGGCTGGGAGTCAGGAATAGCAACCCCTTCTGCATACAGAGGCAGCACGGGAGAGAAGAGGAACAGACATGTTCGCTACTCTAGAGCCAGACCACCAAGCACTGCCTGAAACAACCTTGTCTGCGCTCCCAGTTGAACCGCTTTAATGTCATTAAAAGGCTGCAATTCTTCTTCTTCTCTGCCCCTGCGTCCTGAGATCAGCACAGGTGCTTCAGTGCTACCCCTGGCCGACACCAAAGGCTTGAGCAGTCCCAACCTTAGACACCTTCCCCCCTGAGGAGCCCCACCACTCTCCCACCCAGTAGCGAGGGTGGATCTGCAGGAGGGCCAAAGGCTACGGCAAGTTTTCCAGGTGAGCGCAGGGCAGACCCAGGTGTCCAGTCCCAGCTCGGCACGGCCGTGGGCTCCTCACGCAGTCTCTCAGTTTTGCTCCCTGCCTCGGCACCCTCGCGTAAGAGCCACTACCAGGGAGCCGAAGGTCTGGCTAATGGGCGACAGCACCCGTTTCTGGAGGACTGCAGAGTAGCTCGCCTGAAGGTTCCCCCCACCACCCTGCATTGCTTAGCACCCCTGGAGGGTCTCCTGCCGTTTGTAGCATATCACCCTGGCTTTAGAGCTGGAAGATCTGCCTTGCTGCCTCTGCCAAGTATCCCCTGCTCCTTGGCTGCTCAGCACCATGGATCAGTTACTGTTGCTACTGCTGGCCCAGAAGAACTGGCTGGAAAATTATGCCCATTTTCAGAGATGCTCCTCGGCCCTGTTGGACTGCCAAGGCTTGTAGCTATGCTGTGCAGCCTCTTGGGATGCAGCTGGGTGCCTGGGAGGTGGCACAAGCCTGCGGGTGGTGAGGGGTGATGAGGAGCTGGCAGGATACTACAGCAGGGTTAGCTCTGCCTTTCCTGGCCTGGTAGTGTCTCAGAGAGTGGAAGCAGGTGCAAACTTCTCCCACCCCATCCTGCCTGTCCCTCTTGCTCCGGTGTGCAGCCTTTCCCTGCTGTCTGTCACATGGCTCCGCAGGGACCCCTCCCAGTCCTGCCTTGGAGATGCCCCTGCCTGCAGGATTATCTCCCACCTGTTACACTTTTGTTTCATCCAACCTCTAATGCTCCCGCCAATTCCCTTGTCAAATCCCATGTGTGGTTCCAGGCATTTCTCCAGGACCCCCGTGTCCCCATCCCCAGTTCAGTCATCCCATGCTGTCATATCAGGCAGTGCTAGCTCCAGTCAGGACTTTGCTAAGCTTTACAGCTGCGCTTCCTTCCCCTGGTCCTGAGCAGTGAGGAGCTGAGCTCCTTGTGGACATTTCCTCGCCAGAAAGAAATGTGGTGCGATCGTCAAGGACAGTTGGGTCAGGGGTAGGAAATTTGTTTTTTCCTGGAAGTCTGTTCAAGCACCCTCTGTGCAAAGGAGGGATTTATCTCACGCTGTGAATGTAGAGGGTATCACCACTACGTGCAGTCAGGGACACCTCTTCCCCTGCTTTTTCTGGGCAGCCAAGGTGCTCTCATGACCAGGAGACATAATGCCACTCTCTTCCACGAGTTCAATCCACCTAGAGCAGCTGCTCCTGGTGACTGGACCCAGTAGGGCTGAACCCTGAGATTTTGGTGTCATTCCCTTGTCGTGCCACCCTCTGTGCCTGACAGCAGGTCGAGCTGATAAGCAATTGGGGAAACAAGCTCTGCAAAACCTGATAACCTGCCTGGCCATGGGCTGTCCAGAAACCCTGGGATGCTCCACAGCGCTGGTGCCTTTCCGTTGCGTTGCTGTGACAGTAAAATCCAGCTGACCCCACTAGCAGGGTGATGTATTTCAAAGCAAACTGCAAAGGGCTGAGGGAGAGAAACCACAGAAAGCGTTGCCTGTAAATGGAGCGGCAATTTAAAGTGCCATGTTAATATTTAGCGCATCCAGCTCCAAAGCCTATTTACATACAGTCCCGAAAGCAGAGGTGGTGGCGGAGAGCACTCTGCCTCTGCCTTGCAAGGCAAAGCTGTGCTGTCCCTGTCTTTCCCCGTGGACTCTAGAGGGAGCTTTAGACTTGTTTAGACCAGACACTTCATGCTTCAGCTGAAGCGAGGTGACCTCCACCAGCCCATCAAGTCGCTGCTTCCTTCTGCTGCCTCTTGTACGTCCAGTTGTCTAAGCCATCCTCCACCCCCCACCCAGAAGGTCTCCCCTTTCCACCCCAGCAGCGCCTGCAGTGCACTGTGGAGCAAAGCTGCAATCGCCGAATGCAGATCATGCCAACTTACAGGTTTTGCTGAGGACTCCTAAAATTTGCACAAGAAGCGTTGTGCTGACACTCATGATTATTCTGGTTCTCCTAGGGTTATTGCAGCCCAGTGAGTATTGCAGGAAGTGCTGTTCTTTCAGCTAGTCATGCTGCCAGCCAGCCATCCCCCTTTCCCTCTCCCTGCCCTCCAGCACCACAGCCTGGGGGGGGGTTGGAGCAGAGCTTTCCTAGTGGGTGTGTGCTCATTCAGCTGAGAGGACCTATTATTGCACACAGAAGTTAAAGAAAGTGGCTTCAGCGTGTATTTTTTGCAGGGGGCAGTGCTCTGAAACGCTGCTTGACTTCAGCTCAAGTAGGAGATTAATAAAGCACTACTCTTATGAAATGGTTGTTCCTGAGAAAATACTCATTTAAGGAGTGCAGGGCTGAGATTGACTAAAGTGTAAGGTGAGAATAAAAAAATTCTGTTCATGTTCTTCCAGGAATCCCTGTATTCCTATGAGCCAATATGAAGCATCAGTATTTGAACATTACAAATAGGAGAAACCGAGGCACAGATAGGAGAAGGTTCTGGCTCACCATTTCCCACTGAACCCATGGCAGAAGCCAAGAAGACTTGTCAAGTTTTCTGACTCCTAATCTGAAAGTGGAGTGGTGACATGGGCTCTTTTCCTACCCCATCAGAGTGGCCAAAATTTGATCCCACCCCTAAATAACAGGGACCAATCTCCCACGATGGCACAGGCCGCTTCACTCACCAAATCCCAGGGGGCACAGTGCAGGGGCCAGTCTTACCCTGGGGAAATGAGGTGTGTGCTAACCTACAGGTTCACGCGCCTTGGTGACCCTCTCAATTATTCCTAAGAGATTTGGGGGTGTTTTTTAATGTCAGTCATTTGTAAAGCATTGGTCACTCCACAGCAGCTGCCCTGGGTGTGCTCCAGGCTGCTTGAAACAGGCCGGAAAAGCCCCAAATCAGTTGCCACTGAGCAGAGTTTCCAGCTCTCCACCTCTTTGCTCTGCAAGTGAAACTCACTTATGGGTAAATTGAGGATTTTCTGCAAAAAGTTGCTCTTCAGGCTGGCTTCAGTGGGAAGACCAGAACAAATGTCCAGGGTAGGAGAACAAACAGGCATGAAGGGAGTGGGAAGACCTGAGGTGCGAATCTGTGAGTTTTCCTGAGCTCACCCATTAGGTTTGTGCCTGCTCCCTGCCACCTCCCAGCCAACATAAGGACGCACGCCTGTCCTCCAGCGGTGACTGAGTTTGCGCAAGTTTTGCGTGGGATAGAAGCACGTAGCACCTGCAAATGCCTGTCCCAGCTGCCTCTGCATTGAGCCTCTTTACACCCGCTGATACCAAGATACTTTATAATGATGAGACATCTTTCCTCCCGAGCTGGACGCCGGTGTGCTGCAGACGGCGCTTGTGCACCCAATGATCAAAGCCGTAGCAGTCAGCCTAGTGCAAGAGCTTGCCCTTGCTCTGGGGGCTGATCTCGCCTGCAGCAGGGTTTTCGCTCTCAGACCAGCATGATTGCATTTGTAGAAGTGGACCTGAAGAGCCCCGCTGTAATTAGAGTGTTTATCAGCTACTCGATCATGGATAGAGCTATAAAAGAGCTCCATCTCTGGATTAACTGCCTGTAAATGAGAGAGATCATTCACACAGACCCCCCCCACCCTCCCCAGCACCACTGGACACCACTGGATAATGATATTACTTTAATGAAGCAATTACTGTTATGCTTAGCTGGACTAGAAGACCATGGGGTTGGGGGTTCCCACCGTGGTCACTCGCTGAAACACGTGCTCTCAGGAGAAATAGGTCAGATGGCAGATGATTGTCCCCTTTGGAGTATCTTTTCCAAGCTACTGCTTCTTATGTGTTCATGTAAAACTGATTGACCTCTTCTGACCTGTGCACGTCTCCTCTTGAGTTTGCTCCCATATATTGCCACATCTCTGCAGCTTCAGCTGCACGTTTGGACCCTTGGGGTGAAGGTGAAAGCGTTGTCAGTTCCAGGTGCCGTGTGTGTTAGCAGAGAGGTGCGTGGCCTTGGTGGCTGCATCCCAGTGGAGGAGTGGGTCCCAGCCTCTGCCCAGTTCCCTCACCAGCAAAATGGTTCACGCAGGAGCCTGCAGAGGTGGTTTGGGATACGCGGGGCACATTTTGGGTTTCCTTTGCACAAGTCCGGTGTTTTGCTCTGCTGCTACAAAGAGCAGACCGTCTGCCAGCATCTGAAAAAACGATTTTCTGGCTTTTCATTGCCCTTGTGTAACAATTGAATCAGGAAGAGATGAGCTGCAGGGGTAAGGTGTTACCTGCAAAGATACATGTCATTAGAATATCTCAACCCTTGGTTTAAAAACAAAACAAAACAAAAAGGGAAACTTTGACCCCACAGTGGTATGGGGTACCCAGGCAGCCACTTTGGAGGTTGTCTGTAAGTCTGGGCCCAAAGCAGATTCCCCAGTGCATAGGCTGTCCTTGCTAGAAACAGAGATGTTTTTAATGGCTAAGGAGGCTTTCTGGAACGAGAGGCTTCATTTTGATTCAGTGTCTAAACAGTGGCATTTTTATGACTTTTCCTTCTGCAATGTTATGAAGTGGATATTAACTAGAGATACTGACTCAGGGCAGGGGGGGAGAGAAAAAGATTTTCCTACTGAGAGCAGTCAAAAGCACAAGGCAACTTTTGATCTGGGGCTCCTTGGGAAAACAAGAACTATTTTAATAACTATTAAAAACACTTGGCTCCTCTCCAAGGGTTTCCCCTCCACCACAGCAACATCTGGCTGTTCCTCCTCTCTTGTCCCCTCTCCCATCTGATGATGTGCTTTTGAGATCTGGCCCGGCTCCCTGTGAAGAATGCACCTCCGAGACTGTGGTATAACCCGGGCCAATGCACCTGGCCCCAACCTTTCCCTGGGCAGGCTTAGCCCAGGATGGGTTTTCCCTGGGGCAGTTTGAATGTGTCCCAGCTGGAAAGGGAGAGCTTGTCCCTGGCTATGACCGGTCCGGCCAGGAATTGGGCAGGGAAGGGCTTGTATGTTTTTGTTGACCAGCCTGGAGGTAACCTCTGATGCCTGCACCCTCTGAGCAAGCTCTGCCATGAGCGTCCAGCTGCTGGTCACACAACGGTCACGTCTACAGCTGTGTCAGGTTCATGCCAGCTCCTGCCCAGGTCTCCCAGGCCTGCTGCCTTCTCGCCTTGGTCTAACCAACCTGTTTCTCCTCTCCTCTCTCCAGGGCTCTCCTTCTACACCCGAGTGCTTGAAAACTGTGAGGATGAGGCCAGATTTGATGAGGTAAGAGATGTCTTTTCCCCTAGGTCTGTCTTGCAATTACAGTTTGTTTTTCAGTGACATCCTTTCAGGGCATGCCCATCTTCAGATTTTAACACCCTCCTCAGGGTAGGTCTCCTCTTATTAGCAACGCTGTGGGGCCACCACATTGGAGCGGTGCTGGGCAGAGATGCTGAGCTCGTTTCGCTATTTGATCCGGTGCCTGGAGAGGGGAGGAATTCCCATGGCAGGAACAGCTATTATCAGGGACAGGGGGAAAAGTGGTTGTAGGTGAAGAACTCAAATCTGAGTGTGTTGGCATCTTTTTTTCCGGCTCCGGGGTTTCTCTGGGCAGATACCAAACAGGTCTCCCAAGGGGAGATCATAAGGGCCATGGCTTGGCTAAGGCTGAGGCTGTGGGGTGCCCTCGATGTACTAATTGGGACCTACAGCCTCCCCACTTCCCCACGGGGTAAAATCTTGCCATGCTCTTGGTAGCTTGACTTAGGTTTATGTCTGCCTTTTCCCCTCTGCCACAGCGTTATTGTGTTCCAGCACAAACAGGCCTGGTGCATTTGGAAAATGATTGGTAGAAAAAAAAATGCTGTTTTTTGCGCTGAAGTTGCAGGAAAAAATTGCTTGTATCCACTGAGCAAATACCACTGGGCTTGTGGCTCTCCTTTTCCTTGCATAAAAGGGAAGAACTCCTGAGTTCAGACCCTTGTCACAAATTCCCCGTCTCTCGTTAGTCACAAACAGCCTGACAGCCTCCCCTCACCCCGCCTGCGTTCCTCAAATCACACCAGGTAACAAGCCAATTCGTTCACTTTTGACTGTCTTTTAGTGCAAACAGGAAGATGTATTGGCCTTTAGCTCTCAGCTACGGGCTTTGAAAGGAGGAGAAGAAGGAATTGAAACCCCAGGTTCTCTGTAGTTTTGAAATGCAGCTTTGTCTTCAGCAGTTATCTTGAAAATATTCTGAGAAGATTGAAATAAGATCACCCACACAAGCAGGGAATAGAGATGCTACTAAAAAGTCGCATTCAAAATGGAAATACATATTCAAAAGAGAACGAATGTTTCCTTTGATTGGTTTGGGTAGCTCAGAGAAGATAATCTGCTCGCAGGGGCTGGAGAACACAGGATACTATGGAGAATATTTAGATCCTTAAACTCTTTATCCCTTTCTAAAGCTTTTTCACCTTAAGAAAATAAGATTTCACGCTAGGTCTACATGGGGGATATGTTTGTGGGGCGATAAATCCCATGGCGTTCCCACCTTGTGCAGCTAGAAGCATACTCAGCTCCTTTGGCCCCTTTTGATGATCCAGCACGGTGTGGTCCAAGCCCTGTTCCCACCCTGGCTGGGGGGACTGGCAGATAAACAGCGGTGGAGCTGTGCCAGACCAGTCTGGAGCAAACCCCTCTTCTCTGGGGCAGGGTTTGCAGAGTGGATCCATGGTCTCAGAGCCCTGCTGCAAACCCAGGTAGCAGACTGACCTTCAAATTAGAGATAGAGATGGGCATATGTCCGGAGACCCTTTTGAATGCGTCTAGAGGTCAGGTCCAACCATGAGATAATACACTCTGCCACTAGGAATAGCCCTTGCCCCAAGTTTTAGGGGAAGGTCTTAATCTTCTTGCACTCCCTAAATTGCCGAGGAGGATGAAGGGGAGGGGAAGCCCAGGACAGTGAGGACGCAGCAGGGTGGACTCCCCCTCCACTTCCTGCAGGGTTTAACGGGATTATGGATGCAGAGTAAGGATGTAACTGGAGGAGGGTCTCCAACCACTCTCCTACAAAGCAGAGTCAGCTATGAGGAAGCTGCTTGTGTCAATGGGATGCTGATTTCTGTAGATACGCACAGGGCAATTTGTTATTATAATAATTGACTTGAATAATAATGACAGAGATATGCATTGATAGAGCTGCTTCTGTCTCAAAACTCTCTGTGATTTCAATACAGAGATCCTTCCCTGCTCTGCGCTGCAGGGCTGGAGGCAGGGGAAGCACCCGTTCAGCTCGCAGTTTCAGGCTTGTTGCTGTCATGGGACACCAGATGCAGGTTGCTCCAAGTGCCTGGTGCTGTACAGCGACCTGGGAGCAGCCCAGCCAAGCTCTGAGCCACTTGTGGTCCCAGGCAGTGTGCAGGAGAGGATGGAAAAAGATGCACAGATTGTGAGGACAGAGGCTGTAGAGCTTAAAGGAGAATAGTTGTAAGAAAGCCTTGAACTGTAGGTGTATACTTGGACTCTACAGCGTGCATTATATTTTTGTTGAGTGCCTCTTACTGCATGTGTAGGGGTGAGTCTCACACTGTTCCCATATCTGTCATGCTTGTAACTGTTCTCAGCGCGTCTTGCTGCAAACCTGGTTAAAATCAGCCCGGTACTATCTATGCAGTAAATTGCAGCAAAGTGAGACAAGCTGATCTGGAGCGACCTTGTGTGCCTGAACTGAGCTTTGGGCTCTTCTTGTCTCTTCGTGCTGGGCAATGTGTGGTGCATCAGCAGCAGCGAGGCTTCCTTCACCTTCCCGCTTGTCCACCTTGCAAATACCCTGATTTGCTCCACAAACCGCTTGGCTCCATCCAAGAGGAAACTCCAGCGTGATTAAGAGGTTGCTCTGCGCCAGGGACCAAGGCCAGTATCCAGTCCAGACAGAGGCTTCATTGGAGCGCACAGCTGGTGTGCAGTGTGGACGCCAAACATATGAATAATCCCACTGGCTTTTAAATTAAGCACATTCTTAAGTCTCCTGTGCACCAGAGGGAGAGTGCTCATGCCCTGAAAGACGATCCCATCAGTTAGGCTCGTATCCTCTGGAAATCCTGTTCTGTCTCTGAGGCTGGTGTCTTTCACAGGTCTGCACATTAGCTTGTTTCTCCTTTCCCCACTTAAGCTGTCACCAGGCCAGTCCAGACATACTCAGCTCCTTGACAGTCCTCCTGCTGTGACTATGGCTCAGCCGTGTCTCTGCAGCATTGCTGTGGCGTTGATTTGGCTGGCTGAGACACCTATGTTCCTGCTTTGCTGGGGGTTGACATTGAGGATAAAGCCACGAGGCTGGCTGGCAAGCAGTTGTTCTCATTCCCCTTCAGCTCAAAAGAGTTCACAAAGCTTTTGGCAGACTAAGGAGGCAGAAGAAAGCTCCTAGCTAGGAAACTCGTCTAGATGGTACTTCAACCTAGATAACGCACCCCTAAATTTCTCCAGAACTTTTCAAAGGGGTCTAGGGTCCTGAGCTGACCTCAGAGATGAATAATGACATTTTGTTCATGAAAAAATGCTCTGGAAAACATCTCCAATGGTGTCTTGATATGTCTCCTTCCAGCTGAGCTGCCACAGCAACTCATGTTACAGCAGTGTGATGCACCAGGGGACTTGTAGTCCACCTTGGAAGCTGAATGTTATGGGGAGAGAAGTGGAAGGAGAGGGATTCATCCTGCCTAACTCTCAGTGCCCACCAGCTCTATCTCAGCAAATCACCCCGGGATCCCAGTACAGCGAGTGGTGCATCATGTACCTACTGCAGATGTGTCCCATTGTTCCTACTCTAATGTTAGAGATGGATGTGACTCCCATCCTAAAAGAGTTGGTTTCTCTCCAGAAGGTCTAAGTGATGAGCCTGGATGTGCATAGATGCTCCGTAAGGTGTTTGGTTGCCTAAACATATGCCTAATGCTACGTCAGACACACAACTTCTGCTATAGCATCCATGCCATGGTACTACCCAACTGCCCCAAAATACTTGTGTATTTGCGTGTATTGTTGTGTACTGATGGCACATAGTGAGCAATATCGAAAACACATTTTCTTTGGGCAGGAAAAAATAGAGGGAACTATCAAAGAGATCTATATTACTGCAATTTGGAGGGAAAGGCGAACCTACCTTCTTGGGTCCACCTTTCCAAATCTGCAAGATTAGACCAAATGGGCCTTGGCTTCTCTGTGTGTTGAAACAGGGATGCTGCTGCTTGCCCTGCTCTGTAAATTGCCCGGAGCTCTGTAAGAGCAGTAATACTGAGGATGTAACTCTGCCACACACTGAGAAGCTGAACGGAGGTCCCTGCTAGTGCGCAGCTGGTAACTGGGGCTGGATATGGCTGTCTTCAGGAGGAACAGGCTGCACGCTTGCTTAGGTGCATCCTTCTTATCACGTAATGTAGAGCACAAGCCACAGCAAAAAAAAATGTCAGAGGGGTGCAGCCCTATTTGCTTCTCCCCTATTAAATCTCGTTATCTTCTCTTGCTGAAGGACTCTCTGATGCAGTGACCGTGATAGAAGTGTGGACACTGGAGTGACAAGAAATCCGTCACGAAGTAGTAAACATGTCTTGCTTTGCCTGCAGTAATTAGCTGACGGGGCTGTGCGGGAAAGCTGATATTTCTGTTTGGGTCGTGTACACACGTGGCATATCGTTGTGCCATTGATGATAAGTCCAGCTGGCAAGTTTTACTGGCGGTAGTCACCATGCGTGGCACGTAACCTCAAGGGACAGGCGGAAGGGGCATGTCCTGTCCTTTGCATACGTCCATGTCCAAGCACAGCAATTAGCAATATCCTGGCAGGCAGCTGGCTAATCCTTGCTGCTGGAGAAGCCGAAAGGAGCCACCAGCATATGGCACAGACGGCTTGTGCTTAGCAGCCTTCCTGGCCCTTACTCTGCAGCCAGTGCTGCAGGGGGAGACAGTTATGTAAGATTTATAGCACAGGAGGTTTATGTAACTTCTCAGATATCGATCCGGGGACAGGACCTACGGGGAGCACCACGAGGAGAAAAGTGCCATGCTCAGTATAAGGCTTCAGCTCCACGTTTCCCCATGCAATGAAGTGATGGGTGCATATGGGCTGTAATGTCTGTGGTGCAAAAAAATGACACTCTCTCTCTTCTAGATGCACAGTGTCATCTGACTGGAGCACTATTCAGGGGTGTCAGGTCGCTCATGGAGATATGATTGCTCCATGACACAGCCGCTACGATTTTTTTGCCATTAGCTGCTAGGCAAAGGGGACCGCCCTT